ATGAGTTGCGTAAAGTTTGACTTATCTGACTGTTTTGTTTCGCTTAATGCGCCTTATAATCCAGTGCACCTTATGGTCCGAAAAATATAGTAATAATTTTAGGGGCTAAAATAGTTTGAATTACTGTGAATAAAAGATTGATACAGCTTCATCTCTGGAAATCAGATCTCCCGGAGAAAAATCTCTGTGGTCCTAATAAAACAACATTATCAGATCCTAAATGGAAATAATGATGATTACTGAAGGTAACGATTACTTATGATGTCAGCATAAAGCGAAATTTACAAAACTGGAGCAGGTATGTGCAAAAGTTACTAATAGGTGCCTATCAGTCCTCACGTGTACACCATCTGATTAAACCTATAGAGGACTGTCTGCACCACCTCTATCCGTCAACGCCTGTTTGGTGAATTAAAGCAGGAATATCATGTGACACAGGTAAGATTGTTCAGTTCGGCAGTCAGAGAATAAAAATTCCTTGGGAGGCACAAACTGAATCAAACTGAATAAGATAAATTGCTAACTGATTCTAATAATGAGCAGTGTGTGTTTGTGTGTGAAAGAGGTATAAGGTGAGCTAATTAAGGATGCTTGTAGGACTTAAGGGTAAGGTTGGACATCTCCAACATCTCCGATCTACACAGTACAGGGTTAGCAGCTTCAAGGGTTGATGGAGTACAGTTCACAGCTACAGAGAGCAGGGCAGAGACAATAAAACAGGAAGTACTGTAAAATCTCAAACAGGCCTGTTTTTCTCATGGTTTCTTCATCCTTGTTCACTCATGGTTATTGTTTATTTGTAAAAACTAAGGAATTCCTCTAGTGTTTCACAATAAAAGCAGACACATGTACCCAGATTTTGTGTCCTAGCTCATCTGAGTCAATAATGGCAAAAGTACAAAAATGTTAAAGATGGCTTTCACTTCCAGCCTTGGAGGCAACTTGTTTACCACAGAAAATCAAATTTACAGCTTCAACTCATATTTTCTAGCATTTGGACATAAAAATCAGAAAACAAATAACAGTTTGGTCCAAATTAGTGTCCAAGTTACAGACAGGGCCACATTTATCCCAGAGATCTGACTCCTCCAACTAAGAGATCGAAACCCACAACCTGGTGCCATAGCCTGGACTGTACCACCAGCTATGACTCCCATCTTTTATATACAATATGAAGATGTTTCTGAGTAATTTCAGGCTTTTATCTTCAATAGAAGATTAATAACCATCATCTTTTAAGAAATTATATTTTTATCCACTGGTGACAGGTTTCACTGGTACATGAAGTTATCTGCTGCATTGTCAGGCTGTAGTTTTCCTATATATTTTTTACTTTTTTCCACTTTCCACTTCTAAACATATTTATTATTCCACATCGTCTTTCTTGAATATTTGAAAGTCTACACCTTATTTTACCTTTAATTGAACCTGCTGAGTATAATGTTCAATCTCAAGACTGCTTTTTTCAAATGGAAATATTCTAGATTTCCACTGAAGTGTCAGCTTCAAATGTTTAGTTCAAATGGGTTCCCTGAGAGCCAGATCCAGCACACCTAAATAGGGCTCAATGGATAACCTTACAGAGTGCAAAAACATGTGAAGAAGAGTGGTGTAAGTTTGGGACTTTTCATTGCACCAGTATGCAGCATGTTGCAAGTTGTCAAAAATGATTAATAATCATCATTACTGATCCTCCTCAGTGGTGCAGCCTTCTAAGTGACAAAGACATCACTCATGGCCCGCCACTGTAAGCCAAACTAAGGTGGTTAAACACAAGAACCTGCTGATGAGTTTCTTTGATTCATCACAGCAGTATTTTTTTGTGACGACATTTTACCAGTTTTATGTGGAAACACAGAGACACATTCCTTCTATTAAACATCTGAGGCGGTTCCTCAGTTTTATAAATGGATGCTTTATTAAATGTGAATATTTTCAGTATGTATTTAAACGTCTTCACACTAAAATAAAGAAACCTTCTGGGTCTTAAAAATGAAGACTGTAAGGAAGAACCTCAAACAAAGACGCCCTGTTGTACAGAAATCTGTTGAAACCAGCCCTTTAGCTCCTGTCACCTCTAGCCCGGTAAACATCTGCTCTCTGGTCAAGCATGAGCACGCTCAGCTGGAGGCTTCATATCAGGATTTCATATCTATCTTTTAGATGCAAACTATAAACCACTGTACAGCACATTTGTAAGGATTGATATACAACAAGCTAATCGAATCTTAGAGTTTATAAACCATATATCACATCTCTGCAGTATCTTCTTTCCAAAAGTGCTGAGTGAAAATCTGTGCTCATATTTTGATTATTCTCTTAGTCGGCTGTGGTGGTTGGCCAATGTTAGCTGACCTGTTCTGCCTGTGGAATGACTTATGGATCAAATCAAAGTTAAAGTGAGAAGAGGCACAAGTTCTTATTGTTATATGGGACAGAACGCCTTTAAATCCAGTAACTGGAGATGGTGTTATAGATGTTTAAAATCGGATTTATTAAAGCTTTCCCAGTTAAGTTTCAAGTTTTCTGGCTCGTAGTATTTACAGACAGAGCTTATTTTCTGTAAAACATTTAGTTATCTTTGAATCTTAGCTTATATAGTAGCATTGGCTGAGAGCTAAGGGAGACATAACTTTTGCCACTGTGGCCCCCAGACTCTGGAACTCTCCACCTTTGACCTTGAGATCTGTGGACACTGTAGTCTCTTTAGTCTCTTTTAAAAAAACAACTGAAAAATAATCTTTGTGTTTGGTTAACTTTTTTTGTCTTTTTTGTTGTAAATGCTCTGGCATTTCTTTATGAAGCACTTTGTGATCTCTGTCTTGAAAGGTGCTATATGAATAAAATTTTACTTACTTAATTTTGAGGTTTTGGTTTTCAAAGATGGCTTTAAATGGTTTGTCTCACAAAATATAAGTCTAACTTCAACAAAGAATCTTAAAAAGAAACTATTTACATAAGCTGAGTTGTTGTTATAAGTCACCTCAGTTATCACTGTTATCAGACAGAAGTGATCTTCACTAACACATTGACTCATGTCTGACTTCTTTCACAAAGTTTTTCAGCCTCTTCCAGACAAAATAGATGTGGATGCTTCTCACCCGGCATTGACAGCTGAGGTAAACAGTGGACTGACAAAGATAGGGGAAATAAATCTAGGGCTGATCTGGTCTGGAGTATCTCTTGGCTGATTAAAATTTGTTTGTCCTACAGTGGCCACCGTCGCTAGGTATGTACTTGAATTGCGAGACGCAAAAAAACAGAACTCAGTTGACTGCAGTCTGCAATCTGCTGACATCTGGTGGTGATATTTTACACTCTGGAACTTTAATGTTACAGAAAGCCTTTTTTAAATAAAATTAAATAGGTCAGAAAATGAAGATTTGCTTGATAAAATATTGAACTGGATGTCAATTTGTGCTGCCCTGTCACAGCTTCTGGCGATGGTCATTTACACACAAAGTGTTGTTTTGGTGTGTGTGCTGTTATGTGAGGTATCTGACAAAATGACATTTTAGAATCCTTTAGGATGCCAGTTTAATACAACATCAACATTTCAGTCTCCAAAAAGCAGCAGGACCCTTGTTTTCCTGTTGTTCTGCAAATTCACTTGAAATCCAAAGATATTTCAGATTTATCACATTTATAAAGCATCCAAAGGAGACGAACACACTTAACTGAGATGTTTAGGGTGTGGACAGACAGTTTTATAGGAATTACCAGCTTCAATCCTTTACTTAGTTGACTTGGCTGCCCTGTAGAGGTACTATGTCAGGACTCATTTACATAATTTTAAAAATAAATATATAATAGTAAATAATAAATATATAATCAATAAGCTGTCATGTAACCCTTGAAATCTGTAACTGCTGGTAAAGTTATTTCTTTTTCTCATTTTTTATAAAGCCCATGGAAAAATTACAGTTTGAATGGGTGGTTTTGTTGAGTATGCTTCCAAATAAAGGGTTATTCTAGAAAAACAATTTGTATTTTAGACACTTAACTAATTGACTCCACATTTTTTAAACCACTAGATCCCTGTTTCATGGATTTGTTATCCAGCCATTATTCTGTGACATATTTGAAAGTTTACAGTACTTTATGTCCAATTTGTGAAGAAGACACTCATTCATGTCTCTCTCTACAGGCACACATAATCATGCCACTTAAAGTTGCTTGACTGATATGTAGGAGGAAGTACAAAATAACGGCAAGAAAAACAGGCCACACAAAGGTAGAGAGTACTAAATACTTCGGATTCAAGGCCCTGAAAAAAACAGGAAACAAACAGCTAAGATGAGCTGACACGTGAGAATGTGAGACCCTGAATGCATCTTGCTGTTACGGACACTGGTTGTTTGAAATGCTTCGTCCATTGTTATCTGAGATAGGCTATGGCTTTGGCCTTGGTCACAGCAGGAAGGGGATGATTTAAGGAAACTAAACACCCTTTTTACCAACAAGTGAAGGTCCCGTCTTTGTTTAAATTTGTTTTTTTGTTTGTATCCCCTCATCTCTCTTACACCGTTTTAGAAAAATAGAAATCAGGAAAACATCATTACAAAAATAAACCAAAAAGTTCATCCAAAGTCTACATCCACATAACAGCTTCACGTAAATATCGATGATATTGCACAGCAAGGGATTTCTTCCGATATGAAGTAAATCACTGACACAGTTGGTTGATTAAAAAAAGAACACGGTGGGATGTTAAAATGATTGAAACGTTGCATGTCAGGTTTTATTGTTTTTTTTTTCTTCAGAGAGACAGCAGCAGGATCCCAGGCCCTCCTTCATCAGGCAGATATGTCCTCTGAGTCCTGCTTGAAAAAAG